GCGGGGCCCTCCGCGGGTTCTGTGCTGCTCGTTCCTCGTGGCCTGCTGCCGCACGCAGAAGGTCTGGCGGTGCCGTGCGTGTCCCTGCCTCGATTGGCGGTGCCGCGTTGTCCCGTTGCTTTTCCCAAGTCTCCTGGCATGTGAGTACAGTGAGTGTGCTGACTGGACGGATTAATCCCGGAGTTTTGGGCTGCAGGCGATTGGTTTTTGCCCCGCGCACTTGACTGCAGGCGTCAGTCTTTTCGCCCCGTGCTTGGTCTGCAGGCTCCGTTTTCACATGTGTCTGAGCTAACCGAGGGGCAATGCATATTAAATGGCATCAATCTCTATCGTCTGTGGGATATACGAGGAGCTATGTGCATTAATTCAGATTCATGTTCTGCCACTTGCAGTAAAACCATGCATTTAAATAGCTAGGTCGCTGGTATTAAATTAGGTAACTAAACTGCAGTTGTCGCATTTTGAAAGTGCAGCAGAAAGAAAAAGGGCCCAACGTGAATCTGCAATGGGTGTGAAGTGGTGTCGGAGCTATGAACGCATGGATCAGTGATCGTTCATGCGTATTTGCCATAACCAAAGCAGCAGATGGCTCCAGGGGACGTCTGTTATTCGCATGGGATGTTTCGGATTCGGGTCGGTTTTTTTTTTCCTCAGGCTGTTAAACAACCATGGGCATGGTTCTCTGACCGCCGCTGCTGCCGGTCCCCGCTGCCGTTCCTACTGATGCCTGATCCCGCCGCCGCTGTTCCTGCTGCCGCTCCTGCTGCTGCCTGTTCCTGCTGCCTGCTCCTGCTGCTCCTACTACTACATGTGCCGCTGCTGCTGTTCCTGCCGCTGCCGCTCCGCAGGTTCCCAGGCTGCACCTGTCTCTACGGCTCGGCTCTTTCAGACACGTACGTAACCGGGCTCACGGAGACAATCGGCGCACGCTGGCGCGACACGTCTGTTTGTTCGTATGAATCGCTTTGTGGTGCTGCTGCTCCCGCTAATGCTGCTTCTGCTGCTTCATACTGCTACCGCTACTGCTGCTACTGCTGCCGCTGCTGCTTCATACTGCTACTGCTGCCGTGCTGCTGCTGCTTCATGTCTTTGTCATCTCTCTTCACTTCGCTTCTCTTACTGAAACACTAAACAGCTACAACATATTCTACTGCCGTGGCTTTGATACAGGATTTTGCCGTTATTATCTACGGATGCTGCAGCTGCTGCTGCCACGGCTGATACAGGTCGTTGCCGTTATTATCTGAGGTTACTGCTGCTGCCGCTGCTGCTACTGCTACTGCTACTGCTGCTACCCACTCTCTCAGAAGCTTATCCTGCTTCTAATGGATGCAGCCCGGCTGAGTATGCCGCGCTGCGCTGGACTCGCACCTATGCTCCCAGGGTCGCTTCGGCGGTCATGCTTCATCTCTCTACTTAATCTTCTGATTCTATCAGATGCAGCTGGCCGAGTAGCTGCGCTGAGCCGTCAATCGGACTCCTAATCAAAGGCATCCATACCCGTATTCTTCACTCTTCTGATCGCAGGCTCCCCATCATGCTGCCCATCCTGCGGTACAGTACATGTCTGCCCTCCTCGCAGCATCTTCCTGCTCGCCTTCTATGGCTTCTCTACATAAGCATTTCACTACTGCTCACTCAACCTTCATGCGGTCCGAGACACGGCTTTTCCCGACCATCCTACTATCCTGATTATCTACTCTCCAACCCAAGATTCTAAGCGTAAGGGCGCCTGCAACTTTAATGGCCCTCTCCGACATGTCTCTGCCCCTACAGGTCTCCGCTTCTACACGGACGTGCCCCTTCCGTGGGTTTTGGGGGGTTTTTTCCAGGACCATTGGGTTGCCGGGCCGTGGCCGCTACTTTCCACCGGAGCATCTCCTCTGCCCTACACGAGATATTCCCAGTGGTCGGGGCCTGCGCGCTGCGGAATCACACGTGGCAGAGAAAGAGGATCTCTGTCATGCGTGATAATCTCGACGTAGTGGAAGCTTACACAAAGGTCGCTCTCTTTCACCCAACATAATGTCCCCTGACCCTTTCAACCTTCATCTCAAACATTCAAAGACCAAGGCGCCTGCAACATAATAATAGCTCGCTCCGACACATCTCTCTGCCCCTACAGGTCCATGATGCGTTACACTCGCCTCCGCTGAAAAAAGGAGATTTTAACGGACCTCTAATTCTCACTCCAGTCAACCTTCCCATCACAGCAACCTGGTTCAGAGCTCAGCTAAGATCCCTACTGCTCCTCTGCAATTGTCTCCCCAGCTCTATACAGCCCACTCCTTCAGGATAGGCGCTGCCACGCGCGCGGCCTCGCCGGGGCTCCCCCACACCTCTCTGCAACAGCTGGGGCGCCGGTCCTCTTCGGCTTTCTCCGCCTACATCAGGCCAGATGCGTCCGCTATCCTGCCTGCACAACGTCTACTGGCTTCCTCGTAAGCTCCCAGCAAAGCAATACGAAGCAAAGTAAGTGAAGCAATAAGATTCTGGTGGCGGCACGCACTTTTCTCAAACACTCCCCGCTGCCGCAGCGTCTGACGGAACGTGATGCGAGCGCTCACGTTCCCAGCGCGCAAAGATAACTCTGCCGCAGCGTCTGGTTGATCGTGATGCGAGCGCTCACGTCCCAGCGCTCAAAGATAACCCTGCCGCAGCGTTCCGGTTGATCGTGATGCGAGCGCTCACGTCCCGGCGCTCAAAGATAACCGCATATAACGGTCACAGCATATAGCGATAGCGGTCACAGCATATAGCGATAGCGGTCACAGCATATAGCGATAGCGGTCACAGCATAGCAAAAAATGGTTAGCGGTCACAGCATATAGCGATAGCGGTCACAGCATATAGCAAAAAATGGTTAGCGGTCACAGCATATAGCAAAAAATGGTTAGCAGCATTGCGCTGGCGGTCACAGCATATAGCGATAGCGGTCATAGCATATAGCGATAGCGGTCACAGCATATAGCGATAGCGGTCACAGCATATAGCGATAGCGGTCACAGCATATAGCGATAGCGGTCACAGCATATAGCGATAGCGGTCACAGCATAGCGATAGCGGTCACAGCTTAGCGATAGCGGTCTCAGAATGGAGCAGTCACGACGTCTGTCCCCTCCAAACCAGGCTTCGAAAACTCCATCAACACGCAGCCTTTTTGGGGATTGTGCGCTCTCCATCGCAGGAGCCTTTCCGATCTGAAGGCCGCACCGGGACCTAGGGCGCCAAACCTCCTTTCATAAAATACTCTAAAACTTCCTGTTTTCTCGTCTCCAAATTGAAATGCAGCCAGCGAAAATTCAATTTGGTAGACGTTAACCAAAATTACACCCTCCAGGCCGGCTCGCATCCCCAGCCTATCGCTCAGCAGACGCCCCCTTCCAATCATCTGTACCGACTACGCCAGCCGCATAAAAACGGAGAAACTCCCACTCTCGGCCTCTGAAGCCTTGCAACCACCGCCTCCCCTCCTCCTCCTCTTCACCCTGCCTCCAATCTGCCTTCAATCTGCTTCCCGCTGCCAAATGCCGCCACCAGTGCCTAGGTCCCGGGGGATTGTTTGAAGTTTGCTTGTTCTGCCCATGTCTCTATAGGTTTTCTCTCCCACTAAAAAACATGTGAATTGGATTTCATTGATTAATTCCAAATATTCAGAATTCCAAATGCCTATATTTGTGAAATACAGAATCAAAATCTCCATTGCTGTTGTTATTGAGGACATATCAGAAACTGCAGAGGATGAAATTATTAGCTTCTGAGAACAATGTGGATAAGTTGCTAAAAAGTTAATGGACTCTGTGCACGCACCACTTCCTGTTTTAGTTATAACCCCACTTCACTTCCTGTGCGCGGGGAACGGCTTAAAGTAGTACTAGATGCTGCTATCCAGAATATATAACTACAATGTGTTTATAATATTTTGGGTGTTCATTTTAACATGTTCAGATGAATTATGATAAAAAAAAACGGCTTTGAAGTGGCACCTATAAAAAAACGCTAGGGGGAGCCAAAATGGCGGCGATGACGTAGGAGAAGGGTATCTCACAGCAGAGAACAGCAGTCTAAGCTGGAAACTGTAGGACAGGGGTGCTCAATACGTCGATCGCGATCTACCAGTCGATCGCAAAGGTAGTATTGGTAGATCGCATTAAATAAATAAAAAATTACACATTCTAAACAAATATATACAAAAAACTCCGGGCAAAGTGGAGATTTTTGAAAACTCCGTTAATGCATTTGTGTGTAGACAGAGATAACCGGAGTTTTGCGTTCTCGCACGCCACAGTACCCCCCTAAATTCCTCTGATCACTGAAGCATGGATCTTACTACCTTAAAAACTGTTCGCTGTGAGATGCTCCCAGCAGCGAACACCCTCCACATCAGAGAGCAGCAAAGTGATCGCGGGGACTCACGCTCGAAAACAACCAAACCAGGACTAAACCAGGACTAAACCAGGACTAAACCAGGGCTGAGGACGGGGTCAGTGCTTGTAAATATACGTCTTACTCTTTACTCTGAGTGTCTTCTATGACTGTAAAAGTGCCGTTACCGGCGTCTGCATCAAAGCTCCGCCCACTTCTGTGTTTTTCCCCAACGCAGGACAGGACGTAAGAGACGCACATGTTTGGAATGTTACGAATGTGATTGATAACGCAGATGTGTGGATGCAAATTATTGTATAAACTGAGGAGGGGAAATATTTGGATTTAAAAAAAACAGGCATGGCACATGGACATGGCACCACAGTCAAATGACATCTGTGTTTTACTCAGTAATGTTTTACTGACACTTAGGTGACTGCACATGCGCAAACAACCGCGCTCAGGGCAGGAAAGCTAAACCACGATAAACTTGTCAGCGAGTTGCCACCAATTTTCCGGACTATGCATCCCTGGCCGATTCAGTTCAGTGCAAGTCATAAGAGTAAACTCGGGTAATGACAAATTTACATAGGTAATTGTGTTGTATTGTGCTATATTGGCTCATGCGGTTTTGCATGACCCTCGAGGTTAGAAGTATAGAAGACGATCTGACTGTTCAGTTAGAGGCCGAGGTGGAGGCCGAGGTGGAGGCCGAGGTGGAGGCCGAGGTGGAGGCCGAGGTGGAGGCCGAGGTGGAGACCGAGGTAGAGACAGAGGTAGAGGGTGAGTTAGAGGCCGGGATAGAGACTGAGCTAGAGACAGAGGTAGAGATCCAGATCCTGGTGCAGCAGAATGCCAAGGATCAGACCATAACTGAGGTCAAAGATCAGATAGAAGTCGCCACAACCAGAATGAGACGTTTGATGGGTTTGACGCGAGAGGGAGATGCGCAGTGGAAGGAAGCCAACGGAATCCTAGAAGAACTCAGACAGAGGCAGCTCCAGTTACCAGAAAAAGATCGTCAGCTCAAGGCTGTGATGGAGGCTAACGAGTCCATAACCCTCGACATCACAAAGTTAGAAGACGATCTGACTCGTCTTAAACAGGAGACCCTTCAGTTTATGAAGGAGCCTGTTCAGTTAGAGACAGAGGCCAAGGTGGAGACCGTGATAGAGGCCACAATAGAGAGCAAGATAGAAACCGCAAAAGAGACAGAGTTAGAGGCCGCTATAGAAACTCAGATAGGGGCCGCGTTAGGGACCGAGAAAGAGACCGCGATAGAAGCTATAGTTAGCAATGAAAGTGCGTCTGAACCTAAGCCAGAATCCGTAGACTTTAGACAGGTGCGCAGGGTGCTAGGTCTGAACGTTAAGAGCCTGGTCCAACTGTTCGCTCAGAAAGACCAGGACGTTCGGGAGGAGGAACAACGAGCTAAAGAACTACAGGAGAAGACGAAACAAAAGGCTGCAAACTTCAGGTGCAGTCGCAAGTAAGTAAATCCCTTCGGGCGACATGGTGGCCGAGTGGTTAGCACTCGTGCTTCTCAGCAAGAAGGTCCTGGGTTCGAATCCTCACGGACACAGGACCTTTCTGAGTAGAGTTTTCATGTTCTCCCCGTGTCTGCGTAGGTTTCCTCCGGGTGCTCCGGTTTCCCCTACAACTAAAAACATGGACAATAGATCCTCTCTCTGAGGGGCCAGGACGCCCCTGAAAAAGAGATTCTGAAATCTCAGTGGGACGTTCCTGGTTGAAAAAAAAAACAAAAAAACTTAAAAATCTAAAAAAAAAAAAAAAAAAACTTAAAAAAACAAAACAAAACAAAAACTTAAAATTGAGCATTCCATTGGCTGAGTGCATCAGTCATAACTGGCAACCCCCTCATGGATCCATGAAGGGGTTGCCAGGTTGGGTTTGGGTTGTCCACAAAAAGCTTTAAGCTGCAAAAGCAGCAGAATGTACTGGAGAGTTTGTTCAGCTGTTTGTGCTTCTGGAGCTTTGAGGCAACACAAACACCTGCAGATGCTGCTTTGCTGATTCTGCACAAAATGGCCTCCAACGAGTCTGGGTCTCCAGACCGCGTTAGAGATCAGGGAGGTCCGGCGGGTTCAGAAGGAGGTGTGGCTGAGGTCTCAGTCCGACAGAGCAGGACCAGACTCCTCATGGCCCCAGGTCCAGGCTCGACCTGAAGACCTGATGAAATGAGTGTAGTCTGAAGTGTTCCTGTTTGGTTGGAAGGAAAACCTCAGTGAGACCTCTGTAAAACCAGTTGGTCTTCCTGGTGTAGATCAGTCAGAGCAAAGCAACAGCCTCTCTTTGCTCGTTTGAGTTTGGCGGATTGGTTCTGGCGTGTGAGCTGTAAGAATGTTCCAATCCGTGTCGTTAGGGTTAGGGTTAGGGCAATTAGGTTTAAAACAGTGTCATAGACTCAGTAAGAAACTATGAGACTGTTTTTGGCTTTAGACTCGACAACAATGGACTGTACAAATGCATTTGTGGAAGACTTCTCTGGACTTCGCCTCCAGTAATAACTGAGGAACAATAAACGTTTTTCACACAAATTTAACTCGACAATATTTTTACTTTTCCACAAAGTCTCTATCTCTGTAGCAAATGTATATTCTGTCTCTCGTTGACAATTTGACTTCTAAACTGTTTATGGTATCGCAGATTTGACAACAATTCTAGCATTTTTAATCAAAGCTCCCCAGTATGAAGCATGCAAACACATATTTCTAAGTCTTACAGTAAAATCATTTGGTTTTGAGGTTACACCAAAAACAGCTGTGGTATTAAATGGGACCTATTCCTATTTTGTTGGTATATTGTGGTCTTTTTTTTGTTAAATAAAAATCATTCCCTTAGCAGTTTCAATCAATATTTATCATGCAAAAAGAAATTTGCGGAAAAATTGCCGAGACCGGAAGTGACGTACACGTAGGGGTCTTTGGGCTTTGTTGATATGCATTTGTAAGCCATAACGTTGTATACGGACATTTTAAACAGATATTTCTCATTCAGTGATGGACAATACAAGTCAGGGGTTTTTATTTATGAGCCCTTGCGTACTTGTTATGACAGTAATTCTGATTTTGAGGACTCTGACTCGGTTCAGACGAGGAGCAATCTTCAAGAACTCAACATTCCACGGGCTGGAGTCATGGATCTATGGTCCGACCGGGTTCGACTCGTTTGCGGATGCTGTCAGTCTGAGCTCGATGGTGCCACCCAAGTGAGTGTAAATAAGTGTTAGCGAAGGTAGCGCTACGGGCGAAAGAATAGATATCACGGACATCGCAGTGCAGAGAAAAGTTAAAAAGTGTAAAAGTGACTACCGTGAAATGAAAGATCCCAGCTGTAAAAGTGGACAGAACTGAAAAGTCTGGAGGTGGTTTGACAAGATGGATTATTTTTACGGACATCAGCTAACACGCTAACACCAGCTAACACATCAATACCCACAACACCGAGAGAGAAGCCTCAACTCTGTCGCAGCTCCAGATGTTGACTTTGAGAGAAATAGTGGTGTTTGTCTGGTTCTATCACTCATTTTTGGGCCTCATTTTTAGATCAGCATTTTCAGATAAAAAAAAGAGTAACAAAGAGAGGACTCAGTCAGCCAATCAGCTCTCAGTCAAAGCGTCAAATATTGACTCACGGCTCTTTCGCGAAAGTATGCAAAAGATAATATGTTTTCTAACACAAAGACAGCAAGACTTTCTTTCGGGTCAAACAAAATGCTTTTCTGTAAAGTATAAATAAAGTTACGTACCCCAGCTTTAACATGAGGGTCCAGGTTAAAGCTGGGAGTGTGAGGGGTTCATTTCACAGCCAGAACTGACAATATATTGTCGTCCAAAGTAGTAATGTTAAAAGTTTGTGGATGAATGATGTGTTTCTCATGGAAGAACAAGGACTCATTTGATTGTGTGACTTTCTCAATTGGAGTTTATGCAAATTCAATGCAAAAAACTGCTTTAGACAGTCGACGCTCTAGAACTCTTCATATTTCTCATGTTCTTATACAAAGAGCATGATCTTTGCCTCGGAAGTCAAAAACACCTGATATTGTAATAGTTTGTCCTTTTGAGTTTCATTTCCTGATCCTGTGATTGTCTGCCTCACAATAATTATCCTTCGCAGCAAGAAGGTCCGAGATTTGTTTCCATCTCCAAGGCTTTCTGTTTGGAGTTTGCTTGTTCTGCCCATGTCTCTATAGGTTTTCTCTCCCACTAAAAAACATGTGAATTGGATTTCATTGATTAATTCCAAATATTCAGAATTCCAAATGCCTATATTTGTGAAATACAGAATCAAAATCTCCATTGCTGTTGTTATTGAAAAAACAATAATAACAAACACATACTGTATAATAACAAACACATACTGTAGCAGCCATTGTCCATAAATGTTAGTAAATGTAAATAAAATCCTTAAATGTCCTGGATCATCCTTGACCTTGTCTCCTGCATCCGCAAGAAACAACTTGAAAATGTGGGTGTGTCTGTAAACATCTCCTTTTGCTTTACCAGATACAAATTCCACCTTTGATAAATTAAATCGATTCTAAAGTGAAGAAATATTGGAAAAGTTAAAGATGTAGTGATACTTTTACATCTTCGTCTATGTTTTTGTTTAAGCTTTTTACAATATGGTGTTTTTGGATTTCATTCTCTCTTGGATTGAACCAAAGCTGGACTCAAGCTAAAGACGACTAAGCTGCTGGACATATGAATGTTTTTAATGAGTGATTATGAGGTATAACATGCCATTGTAGCACTCATAAAGTCGTAAACCTTCATTGACTGTTGATACCCACTCGTTTAAATAGATTCAGATTCAGAACAGGGGAAGGGGAAGACAGTATGAAGTTTGCAGATGGGAAAAGGTCTGAGGGCCACATAGAAGCCTGAATCGGGCTGTAAACGGACCCCGGGCCGCACTTTGCCCAGGTCTGGTCTTGATACTGGATCCTTGTCAAACCCGGCTTGTTCCACGGTCTCTGTTTAGACTCTGGTCCAGTTGACGGCTGACAGCAGAATAACCCTGGAGTCCTGTGGGAGTTCACCCTGATGCCGCAGAGGAGCAGGGGCTTGTGGGTAATCGGCTGTGCGCTCCCATCGCCAGGGCAACGTCTGATTCAGAGAGAGCAGCCAATTACAGCCATTGCATCACTTCGACCACGACACGCTGCCTGTGGGGCGAGGAAGAGGACGAGATGAAGACGGGAAACAGATGCAGCTGAGTCAAAGCATCGTCTCATCTTTGATTATCTTCAGAAATCTACAAACTTGGACCGTGTTTTGTAACCAATGAATGTCAATAAATTATGTGTTTATATCTTTGTATGATTCTACTGCTGCACACCTGGATTTCTCCTACAGGGATGAATAAAGTGTCTATTTATTTGACCTTCTTTATAATGCAGTGTGAATCCTATGTTCACTATTCAATTCCATTGACCATGACCAGAGTTTAAGGAGGAGACATAGATTAAAGGTGCCACATTTAGCTTTTCTTCATGTTTCACAGTCTATCCAATGCACATGTGTGATAATAATTTGGGTGATACACCATACAACACTCAAAACCTGTCAAATTATAGCCATTTTGTGCATAGAAGTGCTCCTCTGTCCGTGAGCCCGCCTCCTCTCATTCTCCGTCTTCGGGCCAAATACTCTTGTTACGTAATTTACACCAACAACACATTATAAGTGACATGAAGCTAACACAAAAAAGCACAGACCTATTTCCAGTTTATGCACTGGACGCTGGACTCGGCGGCTGCAGCTGACCATAGACGACGCTGATTCGCTGGTTCAGTTTCTCCCCTCTGTCAATCACCTCTTGGAGGCGGGCTTTTGGCGTCACGGATTGGGTCACGTCACGATTTGACACAACTTGTTTCTGGGCCTCTTAGGAATGAAAGAGAAAGATCGCTCTCTCACTAAAGCTTGCGGGAATCAATAACAAAACGACTCTGGGCATGTGTATGAAGGCAAATAGCACTGAAAACATTTTAAGAGCAGAGAAAAGTCAAAAAGCAAATATGGGACTTACCATCCATGGAATCTGTTGCAAAGACCCAGAAACACTCAGACATATTAATTCAGTATATAAACAGCAGTTCTGGCAACTTTACAGGTAAAAGCTGTGTCGAGACCAGTGGGGGCGGGTCCCAGCTCAAAAGTGGCCAAAATGACGTGCGCCGACATGCTTTCAATACCACCCCGGGCCGATGGGGGTGGACCCGGAATGGGAATTAGCCAATGCTAATATATAACATTGGCAGACCTCTCAAAAACGTCTTTACAGGTTGGTCCAAAAGTTGGCTCTTGGCCCAAAGCTCCGTTCCACATGTGTGTCAATGCTGAGGGGGGTGGATTTTTTTGGTCCAGTTTACTCGCTGTGAATTTTTGAAGTCTCTCGTTCAAATGAATGGAGCTGCACCGGCTGACGCATGCGCAGATGCGTTTTTTCACATTTTTTGGCCCATCAGTTAGAACGGCAGAGATAGGCGTGACTCTGTCCATTAATATATACAGTCTATGGTTTTTCCACAATTTTCTTGTGGGCGGGACCACTCGCGGCCATCTTGGATTGCTCCATGAAAGCACTTTTCATGGCCAACTCCTATGAACGGCGGAGAATACTGGAGAATACTGGACTCAGACTTACATTTTAATAGCCACATCAAATCAGTTACATCAGCAGCTTTTTACCATCTAAAAAACATTGCCGGGATCAAAAACATAGTGTCTAAAGCAGACCTGGAGATTCTTATCCATGCATTTGTCTCCAGTAGGTTAGACTACTGCAATGGCCTGCTCACAGGTCTGTCCAAACAGGCTGTAAAACAGCTGCAGTACATTCAAAATGCAGCAGCTCGAGTCCTGACTAGAACCAGGAAGTACGACCACATTAGTCCAGTCCTCAGGTCTCTGCACTGGCTTCCTGTGGCTCAGAGAATATACTTTAAAACAGCTCTGCTTGTGTACAAATCTCTCCATGGCCTCGCACCAAAATATATTAGTGACATGTTAGTCCCATATGAACCAGCCCGGACTCTGAGGAGCACAGGGACTGGACTCCTGTTAGTACCCAGAGTCAGAACTAAACATGGGGAGGCTGCTTTTCATATTCATGCTGCTAAAATCTGGAACAGTCTTCCTGAAGATGTGAGACAGGCCTCCTCTCTGACAATGTTTAAAACCAGGTTAAAGACGGTTCTGTTTAACTGTGCATACAACTGAGGGATTTTATATTTGTATCTTTCTTTTTAATGTTCTGTGATAATTTATGATTTTAATGCTTTCTTGTTTTGTTCAGCACTTTTAATTGCCTTGTGTATGAATTGTGCTATATAAATAAACTTGCCTTGCCTTGCCTTGAGATAGGCGTGACTGTCCGTTAATATATACAGTCTATGGTCGAGACAAAGCTTCATGGGTTGTTAGGGTTCGGGTTGTAATTGTAATATTTCTCTCCAAGGAATAAATTCATTCAGGGCGGCAGTAGCTCAGTTGGTAGAGCGTTGGCCTTTGAGCCAGAAGGTCGTGGGTTCAAGCCCCGCTCAGGACTTTCACCATCGACTCCCACTGACTACTGTTCTTGTGTCCTTGGCAAGACACTTAACCTCTGGGAACACCAGCCACAGTGGGGCGGCTGCGGCTGTAAATTGCCAAACTGCCGTTGTGTCCTTAGGCAAGACACTTCACCCCCATTGCCTAGAATAAGCCTGGTGTGTATGAATGGTTGGTGGTGGTCGGAGGGGCCGATGGCACAGACTGGTTGCCTCGCTTCTGTCAGTGTGCCCCAGGGCAGCTGTGGCTACAGTAGTAGTTTATCACCACCGTGTATGGAGTGAATGAATAATGACACATGTGAAGCGTCTTTGAGTGTCCAGAAAAAGCGCTATATAAAACCGATGCATTATTATTATTTTCGAGATATTTTACTCAAGTTATACTGCATGGGAAATTCATATACCACACCAAACCAATGAGTCTTCCAAAGAATACAACAATTTCACAAGCATTTATTCTACTGTTACGTCCATCTTGGAGCCTTTTACAGTAGAGTGGGCTCACACTGAGATTGCCAATCCTGGGACTGATACAGCGGCTCAGACAGGCGCTCAAGTGGACGAGTGATGAGGCCGTCTGTGACAGAGAGACCAATCTGAGGCCGGAGAAGGTCCCCTCTCACCGGGAGAATCTGAGGCTCCGTCTAACAAGGAACATAATGTGGAATATATGAATGGAGAGGAGTGGATTCATGTGGATTTGACAGATCTGAGGCTCAAGGAACAGCTGCAAGTATGAAAGCAACATTTATACACTGGACACAAACGGACGAGTCAAGTGTGACATCACCAGAAGAAGAGCTTATAGTTTAGTGTTGTGGTGGGGGCAGCGGATATAAATCTATCCTGGAAACTATGGTCTCCTCCTATACACATTTTAACTTTTTGAAATATTACAGAGTTCACACATATTTTAAAAGGCACATAAATAGCATAACTTGCTGTGCATACATGAAGGATTTTATCTGTACATCTGAAGGATTTTATATTTACTCTTTTTAATGCATTGTGGCTATTTATTATTTTAATCTTGTGTGTGTTTTTCATGTTTTAAGGATGTAATTACTGATTTTATTCTGTTTTAATACTTCTTGTGTTTTTTATGTATATGTAGATTTTAATGTTTAGGATTTGCTTGATATGATGTGTGTTGTGAGGCGCTTTGTGTTGCCTTGTGTAGGAAAGGCGCTATACAAATTAAAGTTGATTGATTCATTGATGATTATTTCAGAAAGTCTGCTGCTGCATTGTGGGGCCATCCATTGACTTTATGAAAGCCCTTTTCCATGTGGTTGGTCCCACCTGTCTCCAGGGGCTGTCAGTCCAAAACCAGCTCCCCCATTGGCTGCAACCTGGAAAGAGGAGTGACCCAGAACCAGTAGGACCACATTGATCATGTCCTTCCATTTGCATTGACTTTAGTGGGAAAAGAAAGTGGCAGTAACCAGATTTTGTTTGTAAAATTGCTCTATGAATGTCTGGTTTAAGTGCTGTGTATAAAAAGTTCTAGGCACTGGTTCAGTAACAACAATATTTGTACTGATGAGTTTGATGTGAGAATCCAGTGTCTGTTTTGTGACGATTGTCCCAGAGTCAGCCTCATCTTTCTCCGTCACCGTGGATTAGCACCTGAACACATCTCAAGGGCACAAAATTGAATATTGATCTATTTTCTCTCTCCTTTTTTACTCCTCTTGTTTTGCGACAGAGAGGAGCAGAGCCATCTTCAGTCTCTCCCAAATGGATCTGCCAAGTCTAAGTTTCAGAGATCTTTTATTCAACCTACAGTTGGTGAAATTTCAGTTTTGCATCACAAGAAATGCAGTTTAAGCAAAACTTCAGACCGGTAGACTTTCCAAACACGTCATCGCACCAGGCTGGCCCCTTCCTTCCTCAGTCACATCAGCTTCTTCAACAATAACATCTCTATCTTTAACTTGAAAATAAGCATTAAATATTGCAGCCTCTAGTCTAGTGCAAGAAATATATACTTGAAGAAAATTAGGGTAACAAGTTATGAGGTGGAGAGGTCCTTCCTCAAGTGTTCAAGTATCTCTGGGTCTTGGGGAAGGATGGAGCGTGAGATTGACAGGCGGATCGGTGCAGCGTGCGCAGTGATGCGGTCGCTGTATCGGACCGTTGTGGTAGAGAGGGAGCTGAGCCGAAAGGCAAAGCTCTCGATTTACCGGTCAATCTTCGTTCCCTCCCTCACCTATGGTCATGTGCTTTGGGTAATGACCGAAAGAACGAGATCGCGGATACAAGCGGTCGAAATGAGCTTCCTCCGCAGAGTGGCTGGGCGCTCCCTTAGAGATAGGGTGAGGAGCTCAGTCACACGGGAGGAGCTCGGAGTAGAGCCGCTGCTTCTCCACGTTGAGAGGAACCAGTTGAGGTGGCTCGGGCATCTGTTCCAGATGCCTCCTGGACGCCTTCCTGGGGAGGTGTTCCGGGCACGTTCCACCGGGAGGAGGCCCCGGGGAAGACCCAGGACACGCTGGAGGGACTATGTCTCTCAGCTGGCCTGGGAACGCCTTGGGGTCCCCCTGGATGAAATGAGGAAGTGTGTGCGGATAGAGAAGTCTGGGCGTCTCTGCTTAGACTGCTGCCCCCGCGACCAGGCAACGGATGAAGAGGAAGAAAATGGATTTATGGGCTCTGAGGTTTCACAGATGTACAACATGCTAGGTCGGGTCCCGCCATCAATCAAACCTGTCCTATATTTTCTTTAATGTCATGAAATACAGGTCTGGTAAGCTACTTATTTTAAGAATGTGTGAAAAGTATTTATAAACTTACTCTGAAAGATTTCAAACTTTTATTCAAAGTCTTAACGTTGATATTGATGCATTCTTATCGTGTTTCTGAGAGTTTTCCCACACAGCTGTAATATTAGCAGGAGTTACAAAAGTTGCAAAGAGAAAATAGTCCCAAAGGAAACCTTATTACGCCTGTTTGATGGTGTCTATCACAGCCGGATCTTTGTTTTACTCTGAGAATATGAGCTGATAAGAAAGAACACAGAGGGAATGAGCTCCAGCTGCTTTTACAGTCTCCACAAAGAGAAACTGACAGAGGAGATTTCACTGGAGATAAAATGGATTGAATTTGAGCATAAGCTGTTACTGATAATATTAACATCTTCCCAGACGCTGGATTAAAGGAAATACACTTTCTCTTTAGATTTTTAACAATGTTACAACAGTGTTCCTCATCAGACACAGACCTGCAGTCGTTTTTAGATCTATCCACGCTCAGACCAGCAACTTCTCGCACAAATCTGGAACTGTCTTCTTGAAAATGTCAAACAGTCTTCTACCGTGTCTTGTCCTGTACTGGTCCTAGGCTGGTCCTGTTCTAGTTCTGGTCTGGTCCTGGACTGGTCCTGGACTGGTCTTGGACTGGTTCTAGACTGGTCTTGGACTGGTTCTAGACTGGTCTTGGACTGGTCCTAGACTGGTCTGTTCTGTGATTATTTATGATTTTAATGCTTTCTTGTTTTGTTCAGCACTTTGAGTTGCCTTGTGTATGAATTGTGCTATACAAATAAACTTCCCTTGCCTTGCCTTGTCTTGGACTGGTCTGATCCTAGATTAGTTCTGGTCTGGTCCTAGACTGGCCCTGGATTGGTTCTAGACTGGTGCGAGACTGGTCCTGGACTCCTTCTGGTTGGGTCGCAAACTGGTCATGGACTAGTTCTGGTCTGGTCCCAGATAAGTCCTGACTGGTTCTGGACTAGACTGGCTCAGAGCAATCGTTACCATAGCAACACACTGTTGTCTTGCACGATTTAGCATTAGCATTTAGCTTTACTGCATTTTAGTCATTTTCACTAGTTTTAGCATGAAGTAAAGATAAAAACTGTATGAATTACTTTTGGTATTTTAGTAGAAGTGAAAAACTAAGACCTTTTTTTCAACAAAAAAATTTAGGTGATTTATTTCAAATTCCATTTATTGTAATATGAGCCGTCAAAATAAAATAATGAATCATAGTTCTAGTTGTTTCAGAATTCTGGGAGTCCAATTGTATTCCAGCCTCACAGCGTTCTCCGTTACTCAACTGGAACATGAATACCCATAATGCAACAGTGATAATAGCTTGAACTGAAAATAATTAGTTTTCTCTAACATTCTGAGCCGGTCCACTTCCCGCTCCTCTAACATTCTGAGCCGGTCCACTTCCCGCTCCTCTAACATTCTGAGCCGGTCCACTTCCCGCTCCTCTAACATTCTGAGCCGGTCCACTTTCCGCTCCTCTAACATTCTGAGCCGGTCCACTTCCTGCTCCTCTAACATTCTGAGCCGGTCCACTTCCCGCTCCTCTAACATTCTGAGCCGGTCCACTTCCCGCTCCTCTAACATTCTGAGCCGATCCACTTCCCGCTCCTCTAACATTCTGAGCCGGTCCACTTTCCGCTCCTCTAACATTCTGAGCCGGTCCACTTCCCGCTCCTCTAACATTCTGAGCCGGTCCACTTCCCGCTCCTCTAACATTCTGAGCCGGTCCACTTCCCGCTCCTCTAACATTCTGAGCCGGTCCACTTCCTGCTCCTCTGCTGCTGCTTTGATCTTTGCTTTTATCGTCACCGCTTTAAAACAACACACTTTGAATCTCAGAGAAACACACATCTCTGGGATTCATGGAGCGACAACACAACACACTCTAAACTTTCACGCATCATAAACATCTCACTGTTCGACCTGAGCAGAGACTAGAGCAGAGCAGATGGGACGTCCCGCTCTGGTGCCGGAGCCCGAGGCCTGCTGCTGCGTTCAGGTGAAACTAGGGAATTCTGAGGTTTCTATGCCGACCGTAAGACTTCCTGAAATAATATTAAAAAAGGTTGATTTTGTCTGGAATTAAAAAAAAAAATTTTGGTACTTTTGAAAGACAAGTTAGTTAGGGTTCACAAAATACACACACACACACATACAGTACACACATACATTCAGACATACACACACACATATATACAGTACACACATACATACATACACACATACATACAGTACACACATACATACATACATACACACACATATATACAGTACACACATACATACATATATACATACATACACACACATATATACAGTACACACATACATTCATACATACACACACACACATAATATATACAGTGTATACATACATACATACATACATACATATATGCACACACACATACATGCATACACACACATACATACATACATATATCACACACAACTGATGGTTGTAGGATGGGAGGGGCCAATGGCACAGACTGGTTGCCTCGCTTTTGTCAGTGTGCCCCAGGGCAGCTGTGGCTTCAGTAGTAGTTTATCTTTGAGTGTCTAGAAAAGCTCTGTGCAAAAGCAATGCATTATTATTATAATTAAAATCACCGTCAGAAAATGGACCATGAGCTTTTTTATAAAACGCTAAAATTCCACAGCGTTAACAAAAGTCCAGGGTTGAAAATGGATTCTATAACGACGTGTTGAATGTTACGCCACAGCTACTTTCTAATTTATTTACTTTTTTGTGTGCCATAATCATCAGTAAAGTGCCTCATTACCAGCAGCGTGAGTCCTTTTACAGCCCGTGAAGCCGATCGCCACAGGGCACACACTTTGTTTTATGTCTTTGACCACGGAAACATAATGAGAGATGATTGACATTGAGCAGAATTAAACAAAATGCAAGCGGTGGGATTGGCTTTTTATTTTATGTTTGGAGTTTTGAGTTTGAACTTGGAGGTCATCTGCGTAAAAGTGCCCTTGAGCAAAATTTTACTTTTGAGGCTGGTGTGTCAGAGCGACTGGGTATTCTTGCTACTGAGACTTTTTTGCCCAGGCATGTTCAGTGTGGACACTCTCTCTCTACCCTACTCTACTCTATGTTACCCTACCCTACCCTACTCTACCCTACCCTACCCTACTCCACCCTACCCAACCCTACAATACCTGGTTGTGTTTCCATTATGTTTTAGTATCTGGTACTCTATCCTTGCGACCGTCCCACAACAAACCAGTACCAGCCTGGATAGAACCTGATACTAGTTCCACATGACAGGAAGCACTTCCAAATCGGGTTAGGGTAGGGTAGGGTAGAGTAGAGAAGAGAACCAAGCTGTGTAAAAATAATGACGTTTGGGTTTAAATAACTCTTTAAACTCTGGTTCTTGCAAAGATTAGGATTAAGCGTTTTTAGGATTTTGACTGTAGTCTGTTCATTGCTATTCACCCGTTGTGACATTGTCTGTTTCATGGTGCGACGGCGGGACCTCTGAACCTGTACTAACAACACTGCATGGCCTTGGTCCTCATTGTACAGTCTGAGTCCTGGATCTACAGCCCGTCCGTCGGTGTGGAGTGGATCCCTCTCTGAATGTGGATCTGCCCGAGGTTTCTCACTTTTCTCCCACTGGGTTTTAGACTTTTTCCTCTTTTACATTCTACAACATGTATGACATTTATCAACATTCATGGACATTGGTCTCTCCCCATGGACCAATTAATATGTGTATATTTTGTGTCTTAACTGTTGGTTCTCTGATCTGTGTTGGTGATTTCAATGGTTTTGTTAAGTCCTCTGAGATGATGCTGTTGTGATTTAGGGCTATACAAGAACACGGTGAATTGAATTGAATGGTCAGAACAACAGCACCCATGGGTCCAGCTGTATCAGGAGAGGAGAGGGTGGGAACATAATGGAGACTGGATCCATTTCCCAGAGTGGAGAAAGTAGATGTATAAAGAACATATATATGTGAAGTGTGAACTTATCTTTGCTGCGGAGTAAATGGTGAGAAACCACACTCCGCTCTGTCACATGCACCTGTTATTTGAGTGAAAGTGTTTTTCATAGATGTGTTTTCTCTTCAAATGGTCTTTCAGCTCATGTGGCAGCGGAGGATCGTGGGAAATGCTTTAAAAGGTCCATGGTGTGAGATATTTGCTGCTCTGAACCAGATGTAAAAGTCACAGTCTACAGAACACAGAAAACACTACAGTTTGATCTTAAATGATGATGTTTCTGTATGAGGAAAAAATAGGATGTTTAGGATGTTTTGGTGAAATACAGAAAGAGAGACCAGAGAGAGATCAGAGAGAGAGACCAGAGAGAGAGACCAGAGCGAGACCAGAGACAAACCAGGGAAAGACCAGAGAGAGAGAAACCAGGGAGAGACCAGGGAGAGACCAGGGAGAGACCAGAGAGAGACCAGAGAGAGACCAGAGAGAGAGACTAGAAAGAGACAATCAATCAATCAATCAATCAATCAATCAAATTTTATTTATAAAGCGCTTTTCATACAAAAAGTGTAACACAAAGTGCTTTACAGTTTAGTTAAAAACAATCCAACATGCCCAGCCCTAAACCCTCCTCCCCACAGACCCCCCAAAATCACATTTATAATTATATATACAATACACACACCCACACACACACACACACACACACACACACACACACACACACACACACACACACATATACACAAGTATAAAGTCATATCAGGTAAAATAGGTAAAACAATAAAAAGAAATGGGGCTGGGAGCAGATGTAACCGGCTGAAGAAGCGTCATCCAAGGAGCCATCTGCACCAGGAGCAGAGAGCCGGCTGCAGCCACAGGCAACGACACTGGACCCAGAGGAGAGAGGGGCCCCAGACCCCACCAGGCCCAGGACTCAGACCCCATAGGACCCAGAGGAGAGAGGAGGCCCCAGACCCCCACCGGATCCAAGAGCCAGACCCCCGAAGCCACAGCAGACCCCAGCTCTCAGTGCAGAGGGCTCCTCCAGAGGAAACACTGGGGACACTAAAACAATACAATAATACAATAGAAAGTAGAACAATAGAATGTGAAAATAAAAAGAAAAATGGCAGCTGCCTAATATAATAACAATAGTAAATGGGTAGATACAATAAATAATTAAAAATAGTAAGTAATAAAAATAAATAAAAATATAATCCGTCTAAAAACATAAATAGATGTACTAAAAAGCAATAATAGATAATAAATACTAATCAAAAGCTGCTCTAAAAAGGTGCGTCTTGAGCCTACTCTTAAAAATATGAACGTTCTCTGCGGCCCTGAGCTCCTCCGGCAGACTGTTCCAGAGACGGGGGCCGTAGTGCTGGAAAGATGCCTCGCCGTGAGTGTGTGTCCTGACTTTGGGGATGGTTAGGAGTCTGCTGCCGGAGGAGCGCAGGGGCCGGGAAGGCTCATAGGATAAAAGCAAATCTGAAAGATAAGAAGGCCCAAGACCATTAAGACATTTAAAGACCATTAAAAGAACCTTAAAATCGATCCTGAAACACACGGGGAGCCAATGCAGCGATTTTAAAACCGGTGTAATGTGGTCCCGCCCCCTGGTCTTAGTCAGGACACGTGCGGCCGAGTTTTGAAGTAATTGTAAACCTGAAATGTTCTTTTTGGGAAGACCAGAGAGCAGGGCATTACAGTAGTCAATGCGACTGGGATAAAAGCATGCATCAGCGTCTCCGTGTTGGCCCGAGAGAGAATGGGGCGGACTCTGGCGATGTTCTTTAAATGATAAAAACCTATTTTTGTGATGTTCTTGATGTGAGGAATAAAAGTCAGCTCAGAGTCAAAGATTACGCCCAGGTTTTTCACTTGTGATGATGGATTAAAAGAGTGTGATTGGAGTTTCGGTAAAAGTTTCTCTCTCTGGGCCTCAGGACCGATGACTAAAACCTCAGTTTTGTCCTGGTTGAGCTGGAGAAAGTTTTCTGCCATCCAGGATTTCAGGTCTAAAATGCAGTTAAAAAGAGCATCCATTGGCCTGGTGTCGTCAGGAGACATGGAGATGTACAGCTGTGTATCATCTGCATAACTGTGGAAGTCAATTCCATGTCTCCTGATGACACCGCCAAGAGGGAGCATGTACAGGTTAAAAAGGACTGGACCTAAAATGGAACCCTGGGGCACACCACATGTGATTTTATGGACCTGAGAGGAGCAGGTATCCAAACTTACCATGAAGGATCTGTCTGTTAAATAAGAAGTGAACCATTTGTGGACAGCACCAGAGAGGCCGAGGTGTTTCAGGCGGGATAAAAGAATGGTGTGGTCTACTGTATCAAAGGCAGCGCTTAGATCCAGTAGAACCAACACGGTCACCTTTTTAGAATCATAATTTAGTCTAAAATCATTTAAAATCTTTAAAAGAGCAGTCTCTGTGCTGTGGTTCACCCTAAATCCTGATTGAAATTTCTCTAAAATTTGCTGCTGATCTAAAAAGGCATTGAGCTGGGTAAAAACAAGTTTTTCTAAAATTTTGCTTAAAAATGGTAAGTTGGTACCGGTCTGTAGTTGTTAAAATCATTAAAATCCAAATTGCTCTTCTTCAGAAGGGGCCTCACCACAGCCGCTTTGAAGGCTGCAGGAAAGACCCCAGTCTGAAGAGAGCAATTCATCAGGTTTAAAAGCTCCTCTCTAAAAGATTCATAAAATGACTTAAAAAATGGAGTGGGGACTGGATCTAAAAGACATGTGGTGGGCCTCACTGAGGAGAAAACTTTATCAAGCATCTCAGCATCAACCAGGACAAAACTGTCCAGTGTTTCCTCTGGTGAAGACAAACAATCAGATGTGTTAAAAACAGTTGTGCGGTTGGA